AACGGTGTTTTTCATTTTAAATTTATTTCCTAGATTGTTAGAGATGTTAGTATTTTTTTATAATTTTCCTTCTTTTGCCGTTGATTAACTACCTCTCTGTTCTCCCGCTAAATGACTAACCTAAATGTCAAATGAAATCACCAACTTCTTGCTAACTTCAGGTGCATTTTATTTTTCAGTATTCCACCCGTCTTTGCTTATATATATTGTATATTTTTTATATCAGGGTTGTTGCGAATGTCCGCATCCGCATCTGCGGGAAATTTGTATAAAATAAAATATCCACATCCGCATCAGCTTCCGTATTAATTGATACTGATATTCATTGCGGATATTCGTGACATTAATTTACAAACCACTCAGAAACAGACTGCAAGCCCAAAAGGCAGCTCAGCCGTCGCGTCGTTCTTATCTTTGAGAAAATTCCAGTATGATTTCATGCAGGTTATTTTTTGTTATTGAATGTCACAAAACCATTTTAAAAAATCAAAATCATTTCTTGCTCTTAGGATCTTTTTCTCGCATCTCGATCGCATGAGCATCTGCAGTTGTTAAAATATAATATCTGCATCCGCATACGCATCCGTTGATGTATAAAACACTTGTATCACCAACAGCCCTGGTTTTTATAAATGTATCTTGGTAAATATTAACCCTATAACAATTGAAATCCTACAAAGCAAGTAAAGAACCAAATTTTGTGAACATATATTTCAATATAATAAGTAATTATGTACAAACATAATAGTATGGAAATAATTTATATTCACAATAAATTTACATAAATTATTTACCTCTATTATGTCAGAAAAAAATGAAAATAAAACTCAAACAAGCTCCTCTTAAAATAGCTTTAAAATAAAATTGTATCTTACAATTTGTTTAAAAAAAATATTTAACCAAAATTTAAATTACGTTAGTTTTATCATCCTTATATCCTACCAATTTCTCAGCCAAGCTCCATAGATTTCTAGCAAAGATCACATTGTGGACTTGGTACATAACTGAACGCGGCTTACAGTCGATAAAGAATTCACCAGAAACACCTTGACACTCGTCAGATACAGCCAAATAAATGACTGTCTGGGCTCCTTGTTCCTCTGTTCTACAGCAGATCCAGCACCACAACAAATAGGGGTACATGATCCACCACGAAGTTTCATCCCGCACTATATTAGTCTTAATAACCCCAGGATGAACGGCATTCACTGTCACACCAACATCTTTCACCCTGCGGCTCAACTCTTTTGTAAACAATAATATACACAATTTACCATTACAATAATTAAACGTGTCACTGTAATAATTTACTTTATTCATTTTAACCAGATCCACAGATCCGAGGTAATGAAGAATGGAAGATAAGTTGACCACACGGCCTTGTGACTTTATCAAATGAGGCATTAAAAGCAATGTCAATAAGAATGGTGCGAAGAAGTTAATCTGCATACCCTCAACTATATTATCTTCGGTGTAGTTACCAGTATTACCGTGAACTCCTGCGTTATTGATCAAGACGTCAAGACGCTGCTCAGTTTCTGTGAACTCATGAGCGAACTGTCTCACTGATGTTAACGATGATAAATTTAAATGCATGTAAATCACTTCACGGTTCCCTGTTTCTGCGATAATCTTGTCCCTTGCAGTGGTACCACGTTCATCATTCCTACAGGCGAGGATCACTCTTCCGCCTCTCGAAGCGAGGTCCTTGGCTGTATGAAAACCGGTGCCAGTGTTACTACCAGTCACTATTATCACTTTTTCTTTCATAGACGCCTTTGAGTCGCACATTTTGATGCATGTTCTCATGTACAATCGCACACACAGCATGAGCAGATAGATTAATAAAAATGATATAAGAATTAATAAAAAGAATAAATGAGTCCATTCCATGGTTTTGACGAGCTGCGTGTGCACGACGACTGTGTTTTTGTGACTGCGGCCGCTGTGGTGCCCTTGTGTTTTAAAGTCAATCGCCAGTTCCGCGTTATTAACCAGACTGGTTAGAAATCACGTTTATTATTTTTTTTTGGTTTAAGACGTAACGATGTAAATGAATAAATTAAATAAAGAGGCTTTATATATAAATCTTCAACACGAAACATACAATATTTAAAATAAAACAATTGCTTAAATCCTTCTTAAATCTATGTTGAAGAAAAGGTCAGCAATTTGCTGGTTTTTAGGCTTCATGTAGCAAGTATTCGCTGTTGGAGACACCGAGCGTATAGCGAAACCGGTATGTTTTCTATTAGATATTATATAAATAAGAGGGTATCTTACTCACTACATACATTTACATTGAATCAGGGTCCTAACTGAAAATCAGTGTTGGGAATGCATCACGTTTTCCAGCAAAAAATACTGAGTTAGTAACCCTTTTTATACCGCGGCCAGCACCACACAAAGTATCTGTTTGTTTGTTTGAATGTTTTTTTAATCGACTCCAAAAAAAGGCGGAGATTCACAATTCCTCTGTATGTTTCTTTTGTACATATGTTACGCGATAACTCCAGCATTTGTGAACCGATTTTGATGATTATTTTTTTGTTGGAAAGGGTTTTTTTTTTTGGAGAATATATTCCACCTCTAAGAGTGGCAAACTAAGGGATGAATAATAAATCGGTTACAGTGCATTCCTGTAACCGATTGCAACAAACCTTGGCAAATAAATGTAATTCCGCGATCTTTTGAGGTTTTTTTAATATTTAATTAATAATCTCAGTACGGAGTACGGAGTACCCGTACTGAGATTATTAATTATGTTTTCCTGTGCTTTTTATTCCTTTTTTTTTTTATTTTTTCTTTTGTAATATGTAGTGGTAAATAAATGTATTTTCTTTCTTTTTTCTAAATAACAATTATCAGACCTTGCAACCTCAAATGACATACGTACCGACCACCGACCATACTGCACTTAGCAGCAAAGAGTTATTGTACTGGTATGTAGGTACATAGAATACAACATTAAACGAATTTAGAGCATTTTCGATTCTAATAATTTATTTTTCATTTATTTATTTATATTTTGCACATGGTACATTAATTTTGTATGGTGCACGGCCCAGTCAGGGTGTAACAAAGAGACTTAAAAACTATTTACTAAATTGTAATACTTCATAATTTACATACGCAAATCAATTATTTCTTTTTTAACTATTTGTAGCGTTCGTCTAGGAAAGTGGCGGAAAGGAGGGTGTCGGTCTTAGCTCATCCATATCATTATTATCATTGGTCTTTCACTGGCGTTTCATTTTTAGTGCTCATTTCTAAGACAAAACATAAAATTATCAAAGTTAATTTATGCAAATCAAATATTTTTTGCGTAGCTCAGAACAGATTAAAATATTGACCAATTTAATTTATTTTATATCTCAACGAAAGAGGATCAATTAATCATTAAAAAAAATTATAGTTTAGATTTTCTTGTCTGCAGCTTTTGCAAATTCAAAAATATCATTTAAATACATGCCATACTTAAAAATAACAATCAACCGTCATTATAACGACGTCTGTGGTCGAGTGGTTCACACATAGGTTTTAATGGTGTCGCCATCTCTAGGATTCCTTGTTCGATCCTTGGCCAAATCAAATAAAAAAATCCGGGTCAAATAGTAGAAAACTAACTTTTCACTTCTCATGCTCTTAAAGTTCGTTTTTATGCTGGGTGTAGGCTAGTGCATAAAATAAAATCGTCGTTTAAGACCGAGGCAACGACGCCTGCGCCAACAGGCACGCACACTAGAACTTTATAAAATAAAGTACAAGAAAATCCCGTAACTTTGGAGGCATCTCAAGTTCATAATAAAATACACTGAATATGTCAGGAAAAACCATTACATGAAATATGTCTAATTGTTGTAATTTTACATCCAATTTTAATTAAATAATCGTTCATTTGTAATATTACTGTTTAATTTCCTCGCAATCGAAGTGAAAAGCAGAGTGTATAACTCGTTCATAAAACCCATTTTACCGTCGACTTTAGTATCCACTCTCGCCTGCAGCTCGAGTGGATATAATCGTCTCGGGTAAAATGACGCGTTTTATGCACTTGTTATACAATCTACTATTTCTGCATTGTCTCGGGTTTGGGTGTTTGTGGTAAACTATTGTTGTTTCCGATTTTCATAACACAAGTACTTTAGTTTTTTTTTAATAATCACAACAGGTGACGGGACGAACAAGTCGTACACCTGATGGTAAGATACACGCCTGTCCATAACAGTTGCGGTGCCCCTATAAGCTTTAAATCGCAAAGATCTGAGGGGCACTGCCACTGCGCCCGTCACCCTGAGGCATAAGTAGACAAATCCCACGTGCCGTAATTTCACCACCGCCCGTACCCTTCAAAACAGGAACACAGTAATACTGACATTACTGCTTGGTGGCAGAAATAGGTAAGTGGCAGTACTTCCCTGGACGAACTCTTTCACATGGAGCTCTCCTGCTGCTAAAGTTGATTAAGTTAGTTACTTACTTTGGGATCAGAGCAACGTACGTGATATTGGCAAGTATTTATAACATTTTATTATTCGACCTTATGGACTACTATAAAACCCTATAAAACCCTACTCACAGTGTGCAGAGAAAGACAATCTTATTAATGACAAAGACAACCGAAGGGGAAGGGAATGCTCATCACGGTCCGTATATCAATGACTCTGCACGCGTTCTGCAAACATACCTTGCAACTACGATTTTTATTCATTAGTAGCTATAGGTATTCACACGCTATCGCGAGTCTAAGCGCCCAGTTACACGAGGCCAAAGTTTTCGCGCGTGTCGCCGCCCCGGGCCGCCGCGTAGAATAAACTCAAGCCAGACTCGCCCGTGTGCCCGGAACGTTCATTTTAGTTAAAACGTAAAAGCTAAACAAATAGAGCGTATTTTGCCATGACAGACGCACGCGGTCGAATAAATGCGTCCTAACGCGTGTCATCTGAAACGGCCTTCACACACAAAACTTAAAATCGAACGCAGCAATTGTCAGTCTGTCTCGTACTGAGTAGATAATTAATTATAAAAAACTGTTCTCAATGTAACAATTTATTCACCAAACACCTTTCCTTGGGATAATATTATTTGATCCTCAAAAATATAAATTATTTATTGTAAATGTGCACTTTTTAAATAAACGATATTTTTTATGTCTGATGACTATATTAACTGTTCCGTCTACATTAATTGATCTATGGATAAATTATAAATGAACTGCATTCAAGGTAACAACTATCATTATGTTTAAGTATGTTAAATTAATATTTGATCGTCAAAAACAGATAGGTCAAATTTTGGTTGCGCCCTCCATTCAGTAGCTTAAGTTAGGTTAGAATATAATAAAGCAGAACCAGAAGCGAATTTGCTTGCGTTTCTGAATGGTTTCTGGTTTTTTTATACTCATTTGTACAAATCGAACATTAGATCAGAACATGTTAAAATTACATTGATTTAATTTAAAATGATCATTAAATACATGCCCTTTTCCTTTGATTACAATCTTAAGACATTGAAGAAAATCGTAGTTCAGGCGCGCTCGGGCACAAACCAACCGTGCAGGCATCTAGGCACAGACGAGGGTGTGGCGAACTCTGCGCGTGCAATCTCGCGCAAGGAGCGCGCGTCCAGCACCAGCAGTGCGACAGCCCGCGGCTGATTGCTGCCCCACACCAGCGGGCTCAACAATACGCCCTCGTCTTCTTCCTAAAATATAAAATTATTGAATTTAAAAAACTACACTTCGCCTAGGACTAGATATTACTGACGATTTACGGAAATAAAATTTTCTTCATTTTAGTATTCGTAGTAAGTAGGAAACTACAAAAAATAAACTTCAAAGTTGTATCGTACGAAAGTGATCGAACCCCAATAGGCGCCATATACATACACTGATTTCAGCAAAGCGTTCAATAAGGTTGACCCTATTTAATCAACAAATTAAGGCAAATTACGGGTCATTCCTTGGATAGGTCGTGTTCTAAAGTACAACAATACAAAGTAAACAGGGCGGGAGTGAACGAGAGATCAAGAGAAGGACTCAAATGGCCAAAGCTGCTATGAGCAAATTAACGCACATCTGGCGTAGCAGAAAAGTCTCCCAACTATACCAAATCGGGACTAGTGGCGGGCATTGGTTTTCTCGATTTTTCTATTCGGCTCGGAATCGTGGTCGATCCGAGATTCAGAACGAAAAAATGCTTTCGAGATGTGATGCTGGAGGCAGATGCATACCATGAACCGCTACAAGAACAAACTAATCCATTCTTAAGCAGCTCAGCATCACAACTAGACTTTCCGAAATATGCTATCAGAGAATTCTGAAGTGTTTTGGTCATTTGGTCCCGGGTTCGAGTCTCAGGCTGGCAGAAATAATTATATGGCCTACATTTATTCCTCTCGTGAGTTTGGGTGTAATTTGCGGTGTTCTATGTGTGTGTCCATGGCACCCGCGACTGAGGGTTTTCCTATTGTGGGACTATGAGTGTATGCGTTATTTATTTATTTATATACCTAGTTTGGTTTTCGATAATATGTGATTGACTTAAGTTTTTGCTCAAACAAAATAGGATGAAATAATGTATTTTCATGTTGTAACCAAAAGACGATCAGATTTTTTTATTTAAACATATATATATATATATATATATATAGCCAATAGGATAAAATATCTTTCCACTGGAACAGTTTTTTGAGCGTGTCTTATTAAATAAGGTGTTTCAAATAAAAACAATGATTGGATAATATTTTGCTTGTACATGCACACAATTTAAGAACAATATAAAACATCTCGCATCATACGCGGATTGCGCAAGTTCGATCATGTGTCTGAACATAGGAGAATGCTACAGTGGCTGCCCATCAAGTTGCGCCGTGAAGAGGACGTTCTCGGTATTCTCTATAACGTTCTATAAGACCCTCGTACACCACCTTACCATAGAGAACGTTTTCGCTTCCTCGGGGAGGATCACAACCGTGAATTTAGGTCTAAAATGGATAACCTACTGAAACCACCTTTCACTCGCTCGGAGTATTTCAAAAACTCTTCTACGATTAAGGCTGCACAACTACGGAACTCCCGGCTGAAATCCGACGTTCAAAGTCGCTTCCCATTTTCAAAACTGGATTGCGAAAATATCTTCTGACACTGTCCTAGTCTGCAACGTGTATTTATTTATTAGTAAGTATAAGTTTATCTAGGTATATTTATATATACTAATATACATGTAGGTATACTACTTTGGTGCTTGGTGTAATGAACTGGTGTCCGCAACTCGACGTCAAGGCACCTATTTTGCGTGTGGTAGGTATACTATATCGTTATTTATTATTTGACAAAGTATCCCGCTCTTATTAGTTTTCGTACATCTCAAAGGTTGTCTGGAAGAGATCGCCCTTAGCGATAAGACCGCCTTTGTCCACATTAGTTTTAAGCTGTCTATGTACTGTGTTTGTTCCTGTGTGTGAGTGTGTTCTATCTATCTATTTTTAGACCTTTTCACGTTTCTGCTATTCTTAAAATCGTTTTTGTAATGGTATCGCTTTTATTTACATTTTTGGCCTTCGATATTATCTCAGAGTATAGTTATATATTCTTGTACATATTTTTCCTCGGTTATTCGACTTTTTCTCACCTTAGCATTAGGCGCTGGCACAAATATAGGTTCACTAAGATAGCAATCCACAGCGTCCCACGTTTTTACTTCTCCTGTCATCGTATCCACTTTGATCAACTGAAAATCACAATTAATAGTTCAGTCGAAAACTTCGCTGGTTTTGGTAAGAGCTGGAGTACTAATTAAGCTTACCGAGCCAGGATTTCCGTCCACATCTGAACTGATGGCGTAAAAATATCTGTATGGTCGTCCTGCAGTGTAAAAATTAAATTAATATAATGTTGTAATGCAAATATATGCAAAATCTAGTCAAAACAGATGCGTGCCAGTGCCAACACGACAATAAATACAGTAGAAGTGGTTAGTTAGCGCGTGCCAACTGTAGGCGTAGTTCCGCCTACTTGAGCTCAGTCCGCCATTTTCGCTTTGTACGTTATGGTTCTGTCAATTCTTTCGCGCAAATTCTCTAAAATCGTGGAAAGATGCCTTATTTGGAGTGCAAAAATGATAGCCACACCGGTAAGTCTTATTTTAATTTTCTATAGTTTTAGTCTTACTAAAATATTCCATTTTCTGTTTATCGAATTGATTCTTTTTGCTGTAACAAACGAAAGTAAGTATTATCCCAAGTCAATTTGGTCGAGTTTATCTTTTGGAGAACTAAGTAAACATCTTGAATTTTCCACCCTAGTAGCGAACATAAGAGTAGCGAAAGAAATGTTTCAAGAGTCTTTTATTAATTTTAAACTTAAGTGATCGAAATAAAATTCATTATGCAATGTGTACGTTAAAGACATCTGTTGTCGAAAGGATCTTACTTTCTATTCGTTCAGATGTTAGTCCTTCGTCGTAGTCCAGCTACTGGCAGCAAGATTAAAGCACGTTGAATAAAATTTCAATATAAAATCAAAACGTCGTAACTTACAATAAAAGTTATTATTGAACTTTCAACGATATGACGACTGGGTAAAGTTTAAATTATATTCACAGTCCAGAATGAGTTACGTCTTTTTAAATTAAAAAGTACGACTAATCATTGTCAAGATTTCATTTGTTTGTGCACGTTTTGGCGACAGCAGTTGCTGAGTATTAATCGAGGCGTAAGGCACTTCCTTTCTCTTCCATGTACATGCCCATATCTGTGCCTGGCAGATGAAAGATAACTAGCGTGTGTAATGGTATACCAGTAATAGACATGTTGAAATTTATGATCACTCATCAATTAGTCGTCAAACAGCCACTTCCTATGAAAATCTTGAAATCACGGTTTTCGTGCGGTTGAAATGCCTGCAGTTGCAGTGCCACCCAGAGTTTTAAGTCGCAAAGACCTGAGGGACACTGCTACTGTACCTGTCACCCTAAGACATAAATTGACAAGTTCCATGTGCCAGCAATTTCACCAGCACCCTTATATTTCAAAACCAGAACGCTGTAATGCTTTTTTTATTAAAAAATAAGCGCATTTGACTTTCGTCTCACCTGATAGAAAGTGACGATGAAGTCGACGATGGAGCATACACACCTAAATAGTGCCTATTCACTCTCGCCTTGAAAAGGTCCAAGTTACAACGTTCAGGGAACAAGTCTGCAGGCAGGGAATTCGACTCCATAGCCGATCGCCATATAAATGTGGAAGCGAAAACTTCGTGCGAATCGTTAGAATATCCACAATATAGGGTTGGAACTCCAACCTACGTCTGGCCCCCCGATGATGGAAAGGAGAATAAAATTAGACGACAGGTCCATTCCAAGTAGCTGAAGACAGTCGGCTATCGGTATGGATATACGAGTATCACGAAAAGTCGGAGTCAGCTCAAAGGGACTGTTTTGTGGAGAATAGACACGCTTGCGATTTGGTAGCGTTAAAATTGACAAGATTGACATCGCCCCAATTGGAGACCGCCTTAAATGTCAAATCCAAACGACTAACCATGGACTCTCAACAAGACTGGATTATTTCTCCACGGAACCAGTGTAAGGTAAAGAAGGTAGTATGTTCCTCGTGGCATACAGACGCGAATTCTCTGCAATGAGTGAGGCAAAGAGAGTCGCCTTCTCTTCCGGAGTATGAGCCAGCGAGCCATCTGGCCTCAGCAGAGGTGACAAAGAGGGGCGACTAAAGTTTGTTTCAACGTCTTTAGCTAGGGACCAAAAGGACTCCCATTTGCTCCCATTACTGCTTAGCGGTATAAAGAGGTAAGGTACTTCTCTGGACGAACTCTTTAAAAAATAGAAGAATCTCACCATTATACAGATCATAATGTATCCGAGGTGTCTCGCAGCCATAGTCTACCAATACAGTTGCGTCAAAATAGGTTAATTGGGGTGCGTTCAGGAGAATCTCGATCCTCTTTGGTCGACTTCGGGTCCATTCTGCGTAGTTCGTGTTACTTTGCATCGTCTGGAACATTCGAATTATCAATTTCATAAAGCTACCGACTCTTAAGTTGTAAAGTTATCGCTGTAAGGAAACTTTTTCATAGCTGTGATGTTATCTATGTATTATTATTACCGATTAATTATTTGTTGGTAAAAATTAAAATACGGAATAGTTATCTTGTTTCTTTAAATTTCAAGTTTCTGCACAAAATTTACAACATTAAAATAAGGAAAATATGCAGTTAATTTCATTCCAACAAAAAAGATACACTGTTATTCAGGACGAGAAATACATTTGACAGACCTATGTTCGAATCATTAACCATATTGTGATGAGTAATGACGTAATTACCTCAATAGCATGTGTGTACATGGCATCCATTGCTTTAGCGTCTTTATACGCGCATAAATCGACCACTAGCTTGCCATCCTGCTCGAAGGTGTTAATGATGTGTAGGTAAAAGAGAGTCTCTGTGCGGTATCGCTTCACTTCTTCGCCTGTCTTACGGCTTATAAGAACAATATGCGTCTGAAATTTCACAAAATAGCACATTGTTGCAAAGGTTAGAAAGTGAATGCTCCCCCAGCCAATTTTGGCAAAGGTTATCACTTCAGCTACGATGTTAGCGGCGTTCATTGGCTTGCATGTGGCTTATGTAGCATAAGTGGAGTATGTAGTAAGACTTTCAGTTCGTTACGCTTAAAATCAAGCTCCTAGCGCCGTTCATCGTCAAAGTTACAGACTTTGGAACACCATACCTGGTCAACAGACCTGCACTCTCCATTCCGTCCGAATGGCAGTCTGCTACTACCATTGCCAAGGCTCTATATTGCACTTTTATCGTATGTAACATTGTAATAAATTGTAAGTAAAAATATGCAAATTTCCCCATTTTCAAATTGCTTAAATGAATGTAAGGTGCACTGTAAAAATAAACCTATTATATTAACATTGTGGAACAGATTCCCTTCTCAAACCCAATCTAGACCGTCGATTGCTTCCTACTATAAAATGTTGATAGCGCAATTTTTGCTGAACTCTCTCTGTTTTTATTTTATATATTATGTATAATGTATTTTTCTCAAACATCCTCGGAAATGTTTGTATTACTTTCCAAAAAGAACTCAGAAAAAGTATGTGTATGAAAGGTGCAACTCTGTGCCTATAAATATGTAAATCATTTAAATATACTCGTATCTATTAACAGAAACCTATGTAAACAGAGTAAAGATAAACGGACTATAGAGTTACCATACTTAACTTATTATTGTATGTTTGTACAATGCTTATAGTGAGAATCAGAATGGCGAGTGAATGTTAACGAATCCTGACTAATTTAGTATAAAAAATGTTCCTAAATGTACTATTTATTAACAGTGCAAAAAAAAAACTGTACCTCCATCAGAACGAAGTTATACATACGGCGCACTAAAAGTTTCAGGAACTGGCCACTTACATAAACAATATTTAAAACGTAATTACAACATTTGAAAATGGAACTCTTTGGCTGTAGAATACAGTTTGTTTCATCTTGTTTAAAAACAAGGGACAGTCAGATGAAACAAACTTAAAAAAAAACACAATGTAAACATTGTGGCGTCATTTTAGAAATTGGTTGTCTACATCATGGATTTAACTCGTGAAAATTTTCGTAGTATGATTTTCTACGACCTTAAGTGTAATTTCACAGCTCAGCGGAGCTTCGCTCGGCTTCAAACTGCTTTTGGCTATGAAGCACCATGCAAAACGACTATTTATAGCTGGTTTGTAGAATTCAAACGCGGTCGTGTGAATCTCAGTGACGAATTTCGTGATGGTCGCCCGTCAAAACATCGCTTTGCGCCGTATGTTCAAAACAGACGGGCATGTGACATATCAAGAGTTTCGGACATCTTTATAGGCATAGGCATTTGGGTGTGAAAAAGCTGTGCTCTCAGTGGATCTCACACAATTTGACTGAGGCTCAAAACACGGATCCCGTCACTTGGTGCAATGCCATGCTTACCAGATTCAAAGAAGTGGCGTCAAGTTTGGTGTGGAACATAATAACAGGTGACGAAACATGAATTTATAGTTGCGATCCCAAAACAAAGCAGCAATCGAGCGTATGGGTTTTTTGAGATGAGCTGAAACCAACCAAAGTGGCGCACGTGGAAAGTGCCTCTAAGCGAATGATTGCTTCTTTTTTTAAGAAAACTGGACACGTGGCTACTGTTGTTTTGGATAATCGTTGTACCGTAAATAGTGATCGGTACACGACCATTTGTTTGCCGGAAGTTATTGTCAAACTCCGTAAAAAAAATCGTTAACGCCGTATCATCTTGCACCACGATAATGCCAGTTCTCACACGGCCAGACAGACAAATGAATTTTTGAAGGTGAACAACGTTGACCTTATGAGCCATCCCGCGTAAAGTCCCGACTTGGCACCTTGTGACTTTTATTTATTTGCAAAAATTAAGAACCAGTTACGTGATCAACGATTTTCATCACCTGAAGAGGCTGTCGAAGAGTATGAAAAACATGTTTCAGAGTTTGTCACGGAGAGTGGCATAAATGTTTTCAAAATTAGTTTATTCGTATGAAAAAGTGCATTAACGCTAACGGAGAATATTTTGAGAAACAATAAATACATTTCTGACCATGTATAGTATTTTTTTTCTTATTCATTCCGAAAACTTATAGTGCTATCCATGTAGCAATATCAAAGGTATACCCGCTATATTGACCCCAGAATGGCGCGAGCACCTCAAATTACCAGATTTTATGTATTAATTATAAAAACTTATTATTCCAAAAAATTTAGCTTAATAGTACCCTGAACTAAAAGAAAAAACCTGAAACTTGGCCTGCTGATTAGTTCCTGAGAAATTAGACTAAATTTGTGGGTCAGAAGGGCGGGTGTATGTTAACGAATCCTGACAAATTGAGTCTTATTTCTCAAGAACCAATCAGCAAGTCGAGTTGGTTTTTTTTTAGTTTAGGATGCTATTAAGATGCATTTTTCTGGAATAATAAGTTTTTACAATAAATAAATAAAAATTGGTAATTTAAGGTACATCCGCCATTCTGATATTAATATGGTATATTTGATATTGCTATGACTTCGTTCCGATGGAAGTACAATTTCCTAAGCACAGGCACTGAACAGTACAGTTTAAGTACATTTTTTTGGTACTAAATTTGTCAAGATTCGTTAAGATATACACGCCATTCTGACTCTCACGATCGCGCTTGTACACTCACTTCATATTCAGGGTACCACTTGAAACAGTTTGCGAAGGGTGCATTGGTTAGCAGGTTTTTCATTATGCGCAGTAATGATATCGATAAAGGCTGCTCCACTATTACGAAGTAGTTTTCTGTTATTCCTGAAAAATGGGAAAGAAATTTTCGTTACAAAGCACTAAGAGCATGCACGAGCTCACTACCTCGGAAATTCTTTCTCATTAGAAATCTGCGCGCAAATCTCTGCGTTTTTGAAATTCGAACTTGACGATGGACTGTGGTGCACCTTACTTTTTCTTTCGATCAAAAAAAGATAATGACACGTTCATCTACGCGATTTGTCGTACATTACCAATATAAGTAATTTATATCCATTGGTATATTTTATTCTCATTATTGTTTTTTTTTTTGGTTTATTTATTCAATTTGACATTAAATTGACAATGATAACTAATTGTGTTTATTAAATTATTTTAATTCGTCTAAGAAATAAAATAATTTCAATAATCACTTAATCACACAAAATAAAAGTACAAGCAAGTCAATGACAAGCAAAAATAAAGGTTGATGAGGTGCAAATTCAGAACGCATTCGAAGATAAACTTTTTGTTTTGATTAAAAAAACTGTTTTTTTTTCAACACACTTCAATTGGTTTTCTTTCATCTACCATTTTCCTCGCTATAGTGAGGTGAAAAGTTGCGTGTTTCGCTCGGCAGCAAAGTTGTTTTGCGTCTCGTGCCTTGAAATCCTCGCTACACTCTCTTAGTTTCCTTAGCTTGCTCAGGTTTCAATACAAGCATTGACGTGAAACAACAAACTTTGCAATTTGCAGCCTTGCATAACAAATAACTATTGTGGGTTGTAACGGGAGTAAATGCTATCTTAGACTAGAAAAGTTAGTGTCCTTAATTGGTTGTACCGGGGATTGACGCCGCATTTTTTAATGTAATGCCTAAACTTTATTATAATAATGGATGAAATACAAAGTATTCATTATTATATATAACAAATACAACAGCAAGTCATAACTCACAGCATACAGTACATACATTAGAATAAGCCAATTTTAACAGGCGACCTTATTGCCAAGTAGGAATATCTTCCAGGACAGAAAATTAGGAGTTACTAATGACGACGCGCTAGGCAGACAGCTTGTGCTGTCGGCGGTGGATGAAGAGGTGCCAGGTTAGGTTCTCAGAAATTCAGCGTTCTAATGATCACTGTAATACTAACTAAGCTACATTTAAACGAGTTATTGAAAAATAAACGCGTAATTCACCGACAAAATTAATCAAATTTAGCAAAAATTATAATTGTACAAAATAACTGTTTTTCCAAATAATACAGGTTCTAAACTTCCGAGTGAAATACTAACTTACTGAAAATACAATATTCTTCTATAAAAGTTTATTATCATACTGTGGATAACAACCGTGTAACAACCAGCTTAATTTATTATGTATATTATTGATAATAGATTCACATTTTCAATTATGAATTTTAATGAAAATAACTAGGTACTGCCGTTTGGCGCGCGACGGCTACCCTACAGTGCGGGCTTCAAGTGCGACACCATCATGACAATTTTTTATCGAGCTTTGGCTACAAGACCTGTCGAAAATCAAAATCAGATTCGAAATTTTATACAAACGCTGAAGTCGTTGTGGTGGTCGATTCAGGACCTTACGATAACTCAATTGTCGACCGATTTCTTTTCATTTTTATTCATAAAACCCGAATCGAACATCAAGCTGTCTTATTAGAATCCGAACCGAACTGTAAAATATAAATTAAGTTGATACAGTTTTATGTCAGCAGGATTATTTGGAACTTTCATTATTACATTCGATTGTTTCCATATTTTTATTTCCACAAACCCACTACCTTCATCTTGGGTATGGTCAATTACAGAACACTGGAAATGAGATGCAATTTAGCTCTGGTGACCCATATATTTCGTTTGGTGCGTGGAGTCACGTACAACCCATATATTATCGACAATAGGTTTTTTGGTGCCTAGATGAAATTTGGTGCGAACTAACAGAAAAAGGTTGTTTGCAATATCAGCTACACGATCTAAGGTAAGTAAGTCAGCCCCTCTGCCAAGAGCGCTTAAATGTCTTAACCAAATACTTCTCCTTGACTCCTCGTTGAACATATTTACAAGCTCGGAGCTTAAATTCGTAGTTTCCCCGGGACGCTACGTTGAAACTTTGACTAGAAACATACTGTTTCATGTGTGTTTGTAACTACTGTTATTATGTGACTTGAAAAATATTCCAATATTTATAGTAATAATAATATTGCAGTAATAGTATTATAATTATGTACTTACAATGTATTTATATTTCATGCAATTTTTAAATTTTGTTTGATTTATTGTATCAATTGTATTTTTTTAATGATATAAATTTGTTTATACTTAAATACTATCCACTTAGCCCTTAGATTACTATTGCGTTTGGATATTGATCTGTTAGTAGTATGTACAAGCAGCTTATTAATAATAACGCAATAATTATTAATATTTTGAATACCCTCATTTTTTATTTACTTTCCGGAGTTTTTATTACTACTCTTATTAATATGCGTCACGGACACATTACTTCTATACCTACCATGGTGAAACTTATACACATAAGTAACTTACGGCCTCGTAACAACCTTATAGTAACTTAGCTAGACTAAAAACGTTTTATCGGTCACCTTAAGAGGTTCTAGCTTGGTTCTAAATCGTAGACGTCATGTTTGTTATGCAACTTACCAAAAGTATGCATATAGGCAGGATGGAGTTCCCAACGAGGTTTCGTCTGACCAACTATGTGAGCTTTTTCAAACATGTCACCTGTAAACAGAAACGTTTACAAATTCTGTCGTCTAAACTTTATCTTTAATCAATTTGCAGTATCTATGTATATGTATATTATTCATTGTTTGACGTTCCTCGGTGGCCCAGCGATTAATGCTGTGGGCACTAGATGAGGAGGTCTTGATAGGATCATAGGATCGGTTAGAAAAACGTACTATTCTATATAAGTCCTGATCTGGGTTTTCTGGGTAGTGTACCAGACGTCATTTTGTTTCTCTGATACATAAAGTACAGGGAATTTTTCAGTTTGAGACCAGGTGATTGGTATGGTTAGTAAAACTATTTATTAGGATCTAAAATCCCGTGTATTTGTTTTTATCAAACAAACCTTCGTTTTGGCATAGTATGAAGACAAGTATGAAGACAAGTATGGTAATACCATTCATACGCAGCATATGTGTGCACGCGCGCCGCTCTCCGTGTACAGACGCGCAAATTCGCATGATAATGAAAGGCGCGTGTGACGATCAGCCCCCGTAGTATGCCGCATCGATAGAGCGATTATATCCACATTTAGCTCTCATATTCGAGTGATAAACCGGCATTTTAAAATTTTATCACAATAGCCAACATGGCGACCACCGTGACGTCATATTTTTATGTCATCGCGAGTGCCGTGACCAATAACTGCAAAAGATTAGCACAGTGCCAAACATGGCTACAAGGTCACACCTGATTTTAAAACATGTTGACAGTTCTGCACAGTAATTTTATAAAAAGAAAAATTGAGAGCGACAAACAGATGAAAACATTTAATAAAAACAAACAAATTGATTATACATGTATTATTGGAAAAAGGTGAGGAGAACATTTTTAATACAGTTCAATACACAAGAGTAATTAGAAATACGTAAATAATAATGAATATACTGTAAAATTTGTAAAAACAGAAACTACAAAAACCTGACATTTTTTATTTCATAGTTTTCGTGGCAGATTAAACGAGAAATATAGCTATATACGCAATTTCATATCGTTGTCCTTGTTCTTCAAAATGTATAACAATAGTTCGTTACCAAATAAGCAAACTTAGCTTTATCAACTGAAATAAATATTGTCATGGGGCAGTTTATCACATATACATATAGTGCCATGCTACTCCATACACGGCAGGCGGCGGGCGCACACACAAACAAACTGCGCTGCTACGTTTGTAAGGACACTTGTCTTACTTATTACTGCGCAAATGGCTCCTAGAAAAATCATTTTATTCGGTTGACGATTTTTTCAAATTTAAAGACTGATCCGTATCGATGCAAATATTAATCTTGATTTAGCTTATCTAATGTATTAATGAATTTATATTATAATGTATTTTATTATTATATTTGCATGCTTTAGCCAAGGCTAATTAGGATTAAGTTCATCAATTTAATTTTAACACCAACATTTATATGTACCTACCCCATATATAGCGAATAAATGTGATTTGATTATGGGTTTCGGCTTCTTACAGGTGCCGTGGTCACGGCTAGTATAGTAAGCATGCGATATTAGGTGCGAAAAAAATTGTTTTATTTCCACTGTGTAGTAGTCGCGGAAGCCTAATGGTACGCGTACACTAAAACCAATTTTGTCGGCCGATGGCGGACCGAATTACCCGGACAAGTAACTCGGACGTGTATGTTACACACAACAGTGTACTACTTGTGCCGACACTGCACGTTGCCGGTATTCTGTAGTTGACTGTGTTGCTTAACAGAGTGAAGACGCGTTTTTAAAATGGAGGAAATCGAACAAATGTATCTTTTACAAAATTCATACCGCAATTTAATTCGTCGACGTCAACGTCGGCGACATCGATATGTGTGGATCAATGAAATATTTATGTACAGAAAACAGCTGGGTGAATACCACCACCTTTATTTTATTGTAATTTTTTGAATGTTTATCCCATAGGGTTGGTCTGTTATAAGCACAACTAATTAATTTTTCAATATCCATAGTTGTTTAGGTAGATAATAACACTGACTAAACAACAGAATGAATAAATTGAACTATAAATACGCTCAATTTGCACTGCAGACTGCTGACAAATCCCAACAAATTCGGACTCGACGGTTGATCGGCCGTTTTCGAGCATCATTGGACGATGAGGTCGTGTTTGTGTATGCGCTCTCTTTCTTTTACAAGTGTTTGATTCGATCGTCTGAGTTCGGCCGTCGTCGCCCGAGCAAACTTCGGCCGATGACGGATTAGGTGTAAGCGAGCCTTAAGAACTCTTCACTATTATTATCTATAGTATTATCGTATTATACTGTCAATTAAGAAATAGATATACATATTCTTTGTCAATTTTTTCTTCTTTGTTTTCTACAACCGTTTTTTTGTGTTAGGAAGAATTTATGTAATTTTCTATAATTGCTTATAATTCATGCATTCAACATGTCATGTTTTTTTTAATTTATCTTCTATATATTATGAATACTGGTTTGTGAGGCATAAAAAAATCTATACACATACCGTTCTCATTAAATGGAAACTTGACAACAACATGGCGAATTCTGCAATTAACACGAGACATTCCAATGTTATAAACATCACCTAAAACAGAGAAACATAGCTGTAATGTCTTTAAATAATAGTTGCATTGTTTAATACTTCTTTGTTTCGCACGTTGGTTACTCAGACGGGTCCATTGTTGAATAGAGAGCAATATGGTGAATTAACTAGGCTGTAATTTGTCACAATAAACCATATAAAACAAAATTTAACCGCTGAAATTACGCGGCTAACTGTAAACAGAAGCTTCCATAGCTCAGTCAGGTTAAGCCTCACAAATGAGAAAATCCTTGATAACGAGTAATTCACTCATGACGTCACAAAGAGTGTGAGCATCAGAGCACACAACACTGGACACGTCGTGCGCATTATTTATTTAATAAAACTTTCTGCCACTTTTAGCTGGGCGGGAACGTAGTACTACAAGAAAACAGGTGCACTCAAATGCAATATCAAGTTTCACACACGTTACACTGTGGTCTCACACAAACAAAATTCGACAACACTTATACTAAGTGCCAATTAGCATGTCAATAGCGATCATTCACCCCTTCCTACCACTGTATTCGTTATTATTTGTGAAAACTCTTCCATGTTCCCAGTAACGCGCCAAAGTGTTTTCGTTAGCGTATCGTGGTAGAAGTCACCTAGACTACAGATTACTGAATTAACTATTCACTACGTAAAAGATACATCACTCTCATATAAAATCGAAAATACCAAAGCTATAACAGCTTACTGAATCTGACAAATGACACCAGGCGCTAACTACGACGAAAACGCTCAGAGAGGTGAAAATAATGTTGCCCGCCGCATGCAGTCGTGCGGAACAGAATGCTGCGGTTGTACAAGTATTGTAATGTAAATAAAAGACTTGTCTGAGCACTGTCTGCGATATGCTCAGTGGTAGGCATTTATGGCTTAACCTCGAGCGAGTGATGAAGCCCTGTTTTGACCTACCAGAAAGATCTCAAGGATTGTAAACATTAGGGGAGAGATGGCTTAATTGGGGTTATTACGAACGTCTGGATTTGCCCCAAGGTCCAAGTCTGTAATTGCCCCAATCGTAATTTATTTAATTACATAATAATTCTGATGTTATGCTGGCACGTACGATTTTCATATTCCCAATAATAATATTTGTGACAGACTTCTCGAAACGATTGCGTCTGAAATTACCCCGCGTCCGTATTCACCCCACTCTCCCCTAATCACTTTCATAGTAAGGAAACAAATTAATTTTGTATTTAATTCAATCGTTCATTAAATATTTTAACTTTATTTTTTCATACATACATACATAACGTAGCAATATGCACATATATGCACACGCTTCTGTCCCATATGACTGTGTTTCAATGCTGAAAACTTTTTAATAGTGATCGTCGTCAGCTATTCCTCTCCACGTTTTTGTTCGATATAGTGAGAACATGGTCAGAACCCTATACCTCAATGTCAGTACTTCTATACTACTCTTCAGATCTGCCGTCCGCTAATTATAATGCGGCTAAATGACAAAATATTTTTAGAGATATCACAAAAAACCATAACCCACTTCTAGAATATTGAACCTGTTTAATGATATTTCAGCTATGCATCGTTAGGGTAAGTTCCGATAAGGCGAACACATTAACTAATTTCTTAACTGTCTTTGAAAGAGAATTTTGTGCTCCATTTTTGCTATTTAAAACAGATATTTGACCATTCGTCACGTAGCTGCATTTTAGTTAGTGGACAGCAGAGAGTTGTGAGACAAGTTTCGGGCTATCGTTCCTGCGTACTGCAAAGCAACTTTCGCGCCTCCAGTGTTGTTTTCTCTAAGAGCAGTTACACTTTTCGACTTTAAAAAGCGCATATGGTACGCAAATCTAGCGGCATAAAAGCGCCTGATATTAATTTCGCGCAATTTTGCTGTAATAATAAACTACAATAACTAATACTAATAACATACAATTCTTGCACCCATACATCGTATCGTCTTACCCACTATACCGTACGTACCATATTACCATAAAATAGCCTCATGTCAAAAGTGCTTTTAGCACATTGACTTACAATTATATGGACGTCGGGTCCGCGCTAAAAAGTGTCCGAACTTATAGGGCGTTAAAATCGTATACAGAGCGTCATTCACGCTTTAGTCTTCGTTTGTTCGACTGACAGCGAAGCAAGCAAAATTAGACAGAACTGCGATGACATTACAATTTAAATTCAACGTTTTAGCTTTTTCATATTCCTTCACATGTCACTACGTTTAAATAGGTTGACTTGGGACATTTTTTTCGTGGTTTTTGTATTAGACCCGTCGTCCATTTATTTGTAAGTCAATGTTTTAGCACATGAAAATCATAAAAATAATGGGTACTATACGAAACAAGTTATGTATTATGTGAAATTTTATAACTCTCGTGGAATTATTAAGCCGCTTTCCTGAATAGTTGTCATTATGTATATGTGGCCTTATTGCCTTCACCTACACCTGCGATATGCCGGTTCTACAACCACAAAGTAAATGTATTTGTGTATTTTATCACAAGTAAAATTACAGGTGAACAGGTTTCCCTGATCTTACCGTTCGGCATAATATGTGGATGAGCCGAGTGATTGACAACGGCGATCGAGTCTCTAAGATTCTTTCGTTCTAGTGTATCCAGGGTTTTTGGGTCTATTCTACAACAAAAAAATTATATTAGGTGCGAATACAATATGTACAAAAAATTTTGTTTATTCGTCATATATATAAGAAGGATTTAATTAAATATAATGAAGAGATGTATTTTTAGTTTTTAGAACACTTGTTTCTTAAGCAAATTTCTGATAATCCTAAATGGTCGAGTGGAAAAATTTATTGAGTCCTGACATCGTTTCAGTCTAACATTTCAGTAATAAATAAAAGAACTGTTATATTTATTTACACAATAATTTGTCTTAAACATCATCCGAAGTTACCTCTATTTTTCAGAATCTTTGTTGATATGTCATTGATTTATAAAGGTTATAAAGCTACCTTTTATAGCAAGAGTTGTGTAAATATCTGTGATAAAACTATTACAAGACAATAAACTTATAAATTCATTTAGTGGATGACTGTAGTTGGCCAAGCGAATGATAAAACAGAATAATAATATTGTCATCACAGTACCGGGACACGAGCATATCACAAGCTTCACATTTATGATTTAAATTCATCTGTACGCCCCTTGTAATAATAACTGCTAGAATCCATCATCTCAATCAGTCCATCTCGATGTCCTGCATGTTGTTTAAAATATTCTTTTTTTTTATATGTATGAGGAGCCAGTATTAAAATATAAACAACAATCTTATTAAAGAAATATCGTGAATAAATTGAGTGGACCGATAAAATTAATTGAGTATTTAACAATTTATATTACCTATGTATCACTGGAGCTTCAGTAAAGGTGTAGATCTCGTCTCCAAATGGATACACGGATACCATCGCATTGTCTGTCATAGCCTCTCCTGGATTAAAAATGGCTGCTACCCTGGATGTCAAAAGAACAAAAGGGAACAAAAGTACCAATAGTTCTGTCAACAGAACTGCATAACAAAACTAGTGGGAAAGAAAATTGTTCGTAATTCTGTGAAGAAAACTGTCTATTTATTAACAGAACAAATGGGAAAAAAGTACCGGTAGTTCTGTCAACAGAACTGTACAACAGAACTAGTGGGTATAATGGAAACAATCAGTTTAAAATGTAAATAATTTGTGTCCAAAAGTACATAGGGCGCACTATAAGTTTCCGGAACTGGCCACTTACATAAACAATATTTAAAAAGTAATTACAACATTTGAAAATGGAACTCTTTCGCTGTAGAACACAGTTTGTTTCATCTGACTGTCGATTGTTTTTACATTGTGGCGTCATTTTAGAAATTGGTTGTCTACACCATGGACTTAACTCTTGAAAATTTTCGAATTATGATTTTCTGCGACTTTACGAGTAATTTAACAGCTCAGCGGAGCGTCGCTCAGCTTCAAACTGCTTTTGGCGATGAAGCACCATGTAAGACGACTATTTATAGCTAGTTTGTCACTGTCACTGATTAACACGACAGCGTTTGAATTCTGTCAAACGCGGTCGTGTGAATCTCAGTGACGAATTTCGTGATGGTGGCCCGTCCACTGCAATGAACAACAAAAACATCGATGCTGTGTGCCGCATGATCAAAACAGACAGGCATATGACATACCATAAGATTCGGGCATCTTTAGGCATAGGCATGAGTCAAATACAATCAATACTACCCAAACATTTGGGTGTGAAAAAACTGTGGTTTCGGTGAATCCCACACAATTTGACGACACACGGATTTATAGTTGCGATCCCAAAACAAAGCAGCAATTGAGCGTATGGGTCTTTCGAGATGAGCCGAAACCAACCAAAGTGGCGCGCGTGCAAAGTGCCTCTAAGCGGATGGTTGCTTCTTTTTTTAATAAAACTAAAACTAAAACACGTGGCTACTGTTGCTTTGGAAAATCGTTCTGCAGTGAGTAGTGATTGGTACATGACCAATTGTTTCATGGAAGTCATTGATAAACTTCGTAAAAATAACCGTAAGCGCCGTATCATCTTGCACCACGATAATGCCAGTTCTCACACGGCCAGACAGACAAATAAATTTTTGAAGGTGAACAATGTTGACATTATGAGCCATCCTGCAGTCCTGACCTGCCTGGCCCGACCTTGTGACTTTTATTTATTCCCAAAAATTAAGTACCAGTTACGCGGTCAACGATTTTCATCATCTGTAGAGGCTGTCGAAGAGTATGAAAAATATGTTGCAGAGTTTGTCACGGACGAGTGGCATAAATGTTTTCAAAATTGGTTCATTCGTATGAAAAAGTTCATTACCGCTAACGAAGAATATTTTGGAGAAACAATAAATTCGTTTCAGACCATTTATAGTATTTTTTTCTTATTATTTCCGGAAACTTATAGTGCGCCACACGTAGCATTGAGAAAGTATTGTACAAGAAACAAACATCGGAAATCTAAATAAATAGGCAATTTAATAAGATTTCTGTGATTTATACAAGGTACACTGCTCTCATACGGCAAATTCCGGTAAATAACAATAACGTGTCTTTAACAACACTGAAGAAAGTAATTTAGTTGTTTTTCCTAAAATTGCTTATTTACATGACAACGCATTAAATTTTGTATTAACTAAGAACTATAATGTGCCAAACAACCACACCAATTGTTTGGTCTCTAACTAGAGAATGCCCTATGAGTACCAGAGCCACGTAATTCTCTCTTTGGCACTTCCTAGAACACCCAAACCAGAACCAATTTAGAAAAGTTCATTTCTCAAATTGGTCTTACCGGGAATCGAACCTGGGACCTTCGCATCCAGCGCCCACAACGTAAACCGTTAGGCCACCAAGATCGTCAAATAACTAATGGGTTGACCAAAAAGTCCATGCAGTTTATGGCACTAGCTTATGACAAAAAATAGAACTTTATAAATATTATATTCTACTGTCATTTTTCAAATTACATTTTAGCGCGCATTCTAAGAATAGGCGCGAAAGTTTTAACTTAAGGCTGTTAAGGAACCAGTCTGGTTCCATGCAGTCCAGTTTACTTGGTAAAATTCATCATGACTTACACAAGTTGAACGGCGATTGCACGGCAATACTATGAGTTGTTTTATATATAGAATTTATATAGGTACATTATTCTCTATCTCTAATCTACTAAACCTGTCACCTAAAGAGGTGACAGGCTTGCAGGAGCTGTGAGATGCGATGTGCGTGCCCACCAAGTGGCTGCGTGAGCCCATCTCTGCAGGTGCATGCGCCACACGTGTCCAGCCCAATCCCAAGGGCCATACATTCCTAGTAGGTCTTCAGTGATAGATCAGTTATAAATATCAATTCTCCTTTGCACTGAAATATAGACAACGCCAACAACTGACCTGTGTGTACGTGTCCGTATATTCCAAAAATATTTGTATTTATTGTAATAAAGATAATATTTATAACAATGCGTGCTGTTTAATTCGGTGATGTGGGGAAAAACAGTGAAATATCTGTTTTTCCCCACACTAACAAGGTAATTAAATATTAATAAGTAATTTTGCAATTTTCGTCCATTAAATAGCAACGCTCAAGTTAACTGGTCGATTTGAAGTGAAACAGTCGACGACACCCGTCAATTGTTTCGAACTCGAGGTGGCCAATCGGAGCGCAGTTGTCACAGTAATAATATGGCAGAATAGTTTTCAAACAAATTAAATGACGTTTCGTCTCTATTTCTAGTTATATACTCGATGCGCCAGCATAAGCGCTTGTCAATTTCCTCTTATGCTAAGCCTGCAGTTCCAGTGATGAATTATATTAAATGAAAAAAAAAGACAGCTATACTACCGTCAAGCATTCAAGAAATGTTAACCGATATTGCTCGAAAATTTATATAGAAATATGTGAAGTGTTATAATTATAATTGAAATTATTGTGGTTATTTCGAAATTTCGCAATGTGTTGTGTTGCTATACCATCTTAATCTATCGGGAGTCAATATTATTCACTATTCTTCAAACAACTTTGAGGAGCCATAAACCTAGTAATTTGTTAAGAATTTGAAAAAAAAAAACGGAAATGTATTTCTTATTTCTTATAAACAGTATGCTCCTTTAAAATAATCAGGGATATTTTTGTCACCCAGTCTATTTCTATTCAATATGGCACTAAACTTAAATTTGGCGTTTATTACAAGTTACTTTACGATCTAAATGCAACCAATAAAATTTAAAAACATAATAGAAAAAAAAAAACTGGTAATGTCCTCCTCCTCCGTCGGTCCCTCACTGCTGAGGATCGTGACTTTGAGCAAGTATACCGTCAATCAGTCCTCTACACTGCACTCTGTCTTTGGCTTGGTGGAATGCGACGCTTACGGGTACTGCCAGACTTTCAGCCACCTGATCACACCATCGTTTCGAACTTCGACTTCTAGGTCATTTGCCCTCAATCCTACAACTAACAATCACGCTCTCGAGACTATCAGCGCTTCTGCGTGCAATGTGACTACTAAACTGTAAAACTAAAGTAAACTGGTAATGTAATAAAAGTAAAAACGAAAACTCGAATTGTTGCGTATCTTGAAAGCTAAGACCTTCATATGCATGCAAATAGCACGTGATGATACGATTTTACTAAGAGGAAAAAGGAGTTTTCTCTTTTTCCTCGTTTAGTTTTTGAAAACGGTCTTGCAACATGTCTTGTTTATGAGAGGTAAGTCTGGCATTACTTCATATACTCAACAATGAGTTCAATTTGAATTACACGCAAACGTATCACTTATCCTCGGCACGAGTCTATGTCAAATAATGTCATAGATTTACATTGTTCTAAAAGCTTTGTCCAGAATGACTTGGTTTCGGTACTGCTTGACAATAGAATCTCTTTTAAATTATTTCCAATTCAATTGTATTCGAGCACCACTATTGGATCAATGTAAATTTGCTTTGCTTCGAAACCCTCCTTTGCACTTGTCTACATACTACGCTATATGACTATAATTAATAATTACTAACCTGTCGAAAATTGTATGGCAAGGATCGGGTACAGCTTTGGTGCCGAACTCAGTGACGACAATGCGGTTGGCGGCGCGGTTTTTGTTGAACGTGTTGGAGCGAAGAAACCGGCATTGGTACGTCACTCCGCCGTCTTGGATTCCGAACCTGATATTTGAAAAATATTTGTGCCGTTTTTGTATTTAAAATGCAAAAAATTAACCCCCACTTAGATGGTGGAACCAACGATCTTAGTTTTAACAAGTAAATTTCTGAGCTCGTGGCCCCATTCACAAATATTAACAACAAAACCTCTTTAATGAAAAAATGAAAAATTAATAGTTTACAGATTACATTGTAATTAACGAATCGGATATAGTACATCTTATCTTGTAACAAAGTTGCTACTTTTGCATTCTTTCGACTATATCCTTAGGTGTATTGTATTTTTCTAAGACCGTTATTTAATAATAAATACCTAAACTATGATAGTTTCGGGTTCGAAACGCAGAGATAAAACCTGATTCAGAAGAGTTCTAAATCGGGGTCCATGAAACAGATTATAAGAAAAATGAAATCCTTTTAAGACTTTAAAGGCCTAAAATATAGGAATGCATTAAAATAAATTGATAAAATTGAACAAAATCCAGACTTCATTTAAAATAATAAGAGATTTCCATATTATACTTAGTCTTGCCTAGTAAACAATAGGACGTACGGTAACTTTCTTTCGATAACTGTATTCTGAATAACGTTTGTAGCCTTTGCCAGTCGAGAAGTTCGAGTAGTCGTACGGGAGTGACGTCATTTCGATTCGGTTCGAATACGACAATTCGATATCACATCGAATCGGTCGACAATTTAGTTATTGTAAGGTTCTGAATAGACTCCCAGCAGTTAGAGTGAAAAATTATGACATATAACTTTTTTTCATTGCCAGGCATTGACTTACAATTATATGGACGTCGGGTCCGCGCTAAAAAGTGTCCGCACTTGTAAGGCGCTAAAATCGTATACAGAGCGCCAAACTCCGCTTTAGTCTTCATTTGTTCGACTGACAGCGCGATACTGCGATGACATTACAATTTAAATTTCGAGTAGGTTGACTTGGGACATTTTTTTCGTGGTTTTTGTATTAGACCCGTCGTCCATTTATTTGTAAGTCAATGTTGCCAGGGCAACAAGTCACACTCCCCGGCAAGGAAAACCGGGAGGTTACTAGCTCAATCTAGATCGCAAGCGTAAATGCTGTGGCAGCCTCCTAACGTCGGTCGGTCGTGTGTCGTTTAGTTCAGTCGTTGCTCGAATCGTGTCCCTAGTCATATCTTCGTTCAGCAATTCTAAAGCAGTCGTATTCTAAACCAGTATCAGTCGTCATTGGCGAGCGTACGGACGCGATTGAATATTCGCACGAAGCAAGGGATCTAGTCCCGTTCTCCATCCGACATACGTCCGAGACAATTATTGTCAAGTAAGTAATACAAGCAAATTAAAAGACGCGTGATGAGAATGAAGCTTCATACTTGACATTGTCTTTTTGATTTGGTCGTATTACCTCTTCTTCTTCCTGTCCTTATCCCACGCTAAGTGCGGTCGACATAACAATTCATAAGGTCTCTTGACTCAATCTGTTAGAAGAGAATTTGCCCCAGGAGTCCTGTCAGATCGAAGGATTTTTTTATGTTCGATATTCGTATTAATCATTTTTGCAATAAAGTTATTATTATATTATTATTATTAACACAAGCGCAGCTAAACATAGCTGTGCAAAAGCACGATTTAATCTTCACATGAAGTTTGGCAAAGTAACGCTCGAATTCCAAGAATTACCTCTATATAGACATAGTATCATTGATATAGACCGTAATATCAAGTTCTATACGCAACTATTAATGTCGGACGACCACCGGATTCAGGATTCTACTCCCGTCTCTGTCCGACACCAGTCCGTAACAATTATACTGTCAAATGAGTAATGCACGACGAAATTAAAAGACGCATGATGCGAATGAAGCTTCATACTGTACGTTGTCTTAAGATTGGTCGAGTATTACTTAGTTGACAGTAATTGCTTCGGACATATGTCAGATGGAGGACGAGAATAGTCGTCCTTGACCAAGGAGCTGTGTATTGCTTTACTTATTTATTAGTAACAGTGAAAATTATAGTTTAAACAAACCTGTGCAAAAGTGAGGCGCTGTCGAACAAGTGCTCGTAACGCATAGGGCCAACTTTGAGGGAACCGGGTCCGTTGCGAAGCAAGGTACCTCGTAACCAGTAAGGCATTTCACCTAGAAAATAATATTTACCTCGTACCTACAACACGTACTATACAGAAAAATAAGGAAAATTCTTCCGAATGTGAGGTATGTAGGAAATTAAACTATTTTTCCGGATTTATATCGCCTATATTTGTTTTTTCAAACAAACCGATGTTTCGGACCCTTTACATGTCCAATGATCACGGTTGACTGAGGTGGTACAGTCTCCAACATGTCTAATATTAATGCTTTGTTTTATTATTAAAGTATATTAAAGGTTTGTTTGAAAACACAAATATACGCGATTTAAATCCGGAAAAAATAGTTTCATTTCCTATGTGTAACAATCGCGAAAACCTAAGGACTCGATGTGAGGTAGGTATGTACTATTATTTTCGGATTACAAAAAGCACCTGAATATAACGTGTTATACGGTGTGATTTTATCAACTGGGATAGTATGGGGAAAACCGAAACCATAAGCAATGCAGAAAAAGCAGTCATATTGAACTTGTATGAATAAGTATGAAATTGTTTGAAAAACATTTTATCAAATTTGACTAACTTTTGCTGTTCCGATTTTTTCTTCCGATACAATAAAATGCTTCTTACACATCGAGTGTATAATCAGAAATAGAGACGAAATAAAGGCCATAACATTGCTGGTAACTGATAAGTGACACGTCACTTATAAATATCAACTCTAGTTTGCACTGAAATATAGACAGCGCCAATAACTGACCTTGTGTACGTGTCCGTATATTCCAAAAATATTCTGTATTTATTGTAATAAAATAATGTCTCTAACAATGGCATGCTGTTAAATTCGGTGGTGTGGGGAAATACAGCAAAACATCTAATTACAAAACAAACGGAATCAAATTTCCTCGGCAATTAAATATTAAATATGTAATTTTGCAATATGTATACGTCCATTATAGCAAAGTTCAAGTTAACTGGTCGATTAGAAGTGAAAGAATTGACGACACCCATTGACGGCGCCCATCAATTGTTTCGAATTCGGGCTGGCCAATCGGAGCGCAGTTGTCACAGTAATTATATGGCAGAATAGTTTTCAAATAAATTAAATACTTATCAGCATAAAAATATTTTTTTGTTAATATTATTCATTTATACCATTGAATACGGACAATTCACGCTTGACCAAAAAAGTTTGTCAAATTCATATTAACAAAAAAAGACCTAATGTTTTCTCAAACAGTTTCCTTGTATCTCCTAGGGTTCCCGATTTCCCCATACGGTCCCAGTTAAACAAATCACACTGATACATGGATAACGTCGCTTTTATCTCTAGTTCACACTGATCTAGCCAGTGTTTACAGAACTATCTATTGTAATCAATGTTTACAGTCACCAGAAGTTCGTTATCTGAATCACGTGCTCTTTGTAAAAAACCGGCGAACCTGCATAAGAAACTTGTTCCTGCAAGTGCAAAAAACGGAAGTGCAAGTGTCAGTGGAGAAGAAATCTACTCTTATTGAGAGTCCATGATTTGTCGTTTAGATTTAACACTTAAGGCAGTCTCCGATTGAGGAGATGCCAATCTTCCCAAACTTAACGCTACCAAAACGTAGGCGTGACGCGTAGACGCAAACGTGAAACCGACATTTCGTTGATATATCCATACCGATAGCCGACCGTTTCCAGCTACTTGGAATGGACCTGTCGCCCGATTTGACCTTCGTTAGTTACATAGAGACCATAGATAAAAATACACCCAGGAACCTTGGAATCCTTTCCAGAGAGAGGCTCTACTTCACACCGGGACAGTTACTTCCGCTGTACCAAGCGTGTTGAATGATGATTGTTGATGAACCGATAACTTCTTAAATAGCAATTCCGGACAATATCCTTCAGTTACCTGTAATCTTTCCCTCGATGGGATCATCCACCTCCTGCTCGCAAGATCGTAACCATACCTCGGAATCGAAATTTGGATACAATTGGTCGAATGAAGACATCTTTTGTGTTTATTGAACTGAAAACTGAAAGATTTCGTTTAAGTTTATTTCTCTCAATATTACAAACTTCATACAAATACAATTACATGTCATTTTATACTACCCTTCGAAAAGTGAACGTCAGTTTACAAAATAATTATTATATAAATAGTACACAATTCCTCCTCCGCGGCCAAACGGTTACCATGCCGGACAACCACGCAGAGGTCCCAGGTTGGATTCCCGGGCCAGGAGAAAAAAATGATGGCCTACATCAACAAAACGTAACGAATTTATCCCATGAAACAATTTGACTGTAAGAAGGCGTTAAGTGAATGGTTGAAAACCCTTTCTTATGAGGAAGTGGAAAATCTCTTAGAACGCATACCTTAATTAACAACACTACAAATCATTTAAATACATAACATGCATACGCGCGCAGGTAAGCACACACGCTCACACACACACTCTCTCTCTCTCTCTATCTCTTCACACACACACACACACACACACACACACACACACACACACACACAC